GGTGAAACCCAAGCAGATTTTGAAGCAAGGTCTGTAAATACAGAAAAGGAATGGAACGTCCGCCGTCAGCAGGAAAGTGGGATGCTCCAAAAAAAAAAGGCTCTCAGCAACGGTTTGGCTGCCGCTCGTGCAAATGTCTTCGACAAGTCCAAGGGCAAATCCCGGGCCGAGCAATACAAAGAGCACCCCGAAGGTCACTTCGATCATCACGCCTACGGATCCGAGTTGTATGTGAAAGGGCAGCTCCCTTAGGCCATGGAGCGGCAGGGCAGGTTTCAAAACTCTGGGCTGCCCAAGCCATGAGGTCACAGAGCGCCACCTCTCCTCATGCGGCCCCAAGGAGACTACAGAAATTGTGGCATCAGGATTTTCCATGGAAACCGAGTCAAATGTGACTGGATGAACTCGACTGGAAGCGCTGATGGCCGGCGCAGTGACACTCCGCGTGCCAGTGCCAAGGCAGCTACGGCGGCGGCGCTCTACAGCCACGAGTTGCAAAGGGGTTGAATTGTCGAAGGCCTCGTCCCTCCAAATCACCTCCTGCGGTATAGGGGCAGTGGGCAATAGCTCCCGAAGCACCACACAGTCTTCCACCACCTCTGCGGCAAGCATCGCCAGCAGCGCGTACCCGGCCGAGGCGTTAAAGGCTGGGCTCACTGCAAAGCGGTGCATGACAGTTCTGGAGGTGATGAGCGCCAAGACCGCGGCAAAGCGGCCGTAGCCTCCGTAAATCTTGATGTTCTCATGGAGCATATGCCAGCTGCTCGGGCCCGACACTTTCACTGCAATCTGCACCCAGCCAAGCCTCTTCAAGGTGCCGAAACGCACGAACCGCGTCCAACCCAGACGGGTGGTAATATTCAGCATCATCGTCAGCAGCACGGAAAGGATCCAGGCGTAGCTCCCGGAGGCCGCCGCGGCACTGAAGGTGGCGCCCATGCGGATGGACTCCGCGAGGGCGTGGGCGGCCATGGCCATTGTGGCTGCTGGCAGGAAGAAGTGGTCCCCCACCACGGAGCCGTCAAAGTTGTGGCCGTCGGAGCCGTCGGAGCCGTCCGTTGTCTCCCTTCTGGGCCACACCATCCAACTGTAGCTGTGCTGCATCCACGCGATGATGAAGACCTCACACGCTGCCGTGGCCAACGGCAAAAAGAGGCTGGCGCGCACCGGCATGGTGCCCGTCTGCAACATGGCCCCGTAGAGTACCCCGATCACCGTGTTGGAAATGGCCGCGCCGAAGGTTGCCACTAAACAGCACAAGGCCCACCTCGAGCTAGGCAGCAAGCGCCGCGTAGGGAAGATGGCAATGGTTTTGTAGTAGTGCAGGAAGGGCTGGGTTATGAACAAGCCCACCACCCCGCTGTAGGCCACGTGATAGCCTGGGCTCCAGGTACATCGCCCCCAGCGAGAAGATTCCCGCCGAGAGGTTCCCCAGGATTCGATGCACCCAGGAGGCTCCGTCGTCGCCGGTAAGGAACACCGTGAAGATGTGGCACAGCACCAGGTTGGCTTGAAAAAGATAGTGCAATGTAGTAACAACCGGCCTCCACCAGAATGTCTCTGGGTTGGTCAAAGCGCGATTCTCCAAATAGGTGATGGTCATGAGCCGTAGTATCTGTAGAGCGCATTGGATCACAATGCTGGGAAGAAGGTAGCGAAAAGAATAAGTGCCGAAGGCCTTTAGGCATTCGTCATGCACACCAACATCCATCTCCTGGGCCAGTCGGAGGCTGGGACAAAGTATCACCTGCCCCGACATCTCCACCTTGCAAGCCCCCTCATCGTTGAAGATGCGCAGGTGCCGCAAATCCCCTCCTTGATCATAGACAGTCACTGTCTGGTCGTCCCGTAGTACCACGGCGTCCGGCCCCGTTTTGGTAAATCGCCGCCGCTTCAATGCACCGAATTTCTTCCCCAAGGCCGAGACTGGTACTTCGAAGGCCGGCGGCTGCCAGAGGAAGGATTTCCCTATCTGGCCCTGTCGGTCCACGATGACACGCGGGTCGTTCTCGCCTTGGCAGGTAATATGTGCGAGCCGTCCACCTGCTGACAAGCGTCGCTTGCACAGCAGTTCGTCGGCCTCCCCGCCACAGCCCACAACAATGAGGCAGCGGTCTGCATACTGCTGCTTCGTCAGCATATCATGGAAGATGGGAACTAAGGCCAAATGCACGGGGCGATCTGCATGCGTGCAGCCTTGATCCACATCTTGAGCCAAACTGGGTACGGCTTATGCTCGAAGAGCAAAGGATGAAGGCTTGTGCTCGAGTTCAGCGAAAGGAATCGCAGATTTCGCTCGCAGCCTTTTCTCCGAGCATGTGTTATTCACCCGCTCAACATATCAATGGGCATCAACTCTGAGTGCCAGCATGGCCAACACTGCCATCCTTGCCTATCCAAAAGCAAGGCAAAGACCAATGTGTCATCGTCTTGCCCATGTAACAACTATTGCTAGTCAAGCGAGCTGCGCAGGTGGAGACACTTGCGAAGACATTTGAATCGCAGATCTCTTTTGCTCTCCTTCGGGAAGCGACAATTTAAGTGACCATATCTATGTGGAAAGCTCCGTCATGCACTGCAAGCGCGGCAAGCAAGGGTAGTGCTTGTTGACTCCGAGGACTCTTGCTACTTGGAGTCATTCTGCCGTCCTTCAGCCCAATCAAGGCCCTACATCTGCTGCCTCGCTTTGACTGCCCACGTGCTGCCGACACATAGGGCAACTCGCAACGACTCTAAGCCATTCCACAATACAGCTGTGATGATAAATGTGCGAGCAGCACTGCAAGCGAAGGGACGGTGTGCTTTCCTCGATCTCTTGCAGGCAAACGCAGCACTCGCTGGCGTCCGGCGCGGGCTCTGCAAGCAGGCTCTGCAAGTCAGCAGCAGGCAAACCCAAGCCAGCACCTTGGCTCTGACTTTCAAGCTTCAATTCTTCAATTCAAGCACACATTTCCAGAGCTCGGCGCCTGTACGCACCGCTCAGGTTGCTTAAGATGATGTTTTTTCAAGCTGATAAACTTGCCCAGTACCAAGACTAATCGTTGCACCTGTGCTTCCATGGTACATCTTCGCAGGACAGAAACCGCTTGTGCCTACGCATCGATCTAAGCCACCGACTAACAATGAAAGTAGCTGTTAATCACCCACACACACACAAAACCAAAGCCCAACACCTCCGTCTTTGCTAGTCGAGCACACTGCAGTTTCAAGGAAGCACTCTGCTCATCCAAGTCGCGGGGCCGAAATTGCCTCACGCTGCGCTCTTGCAGAAGCAGCCGGTAAAGCTGCGCCAATTGCCAGGCGACAACAGAGCACACCACCAGCAAGGCGACGGAAAGGATCACGAAGAGCACTTCCTCCGCAAGGAGATCCTGCTCGGAAGCCGAGGCCTCATCTCCGGGACCCCTTTCCGCCATACGCCTTCGGGCCCATGGTCACTTGCAGCTAAGTGAGAGGACCCTCAAAACGCGGCACGCAGCCTCGAGCCGAATCTAGCGAAAGGAGCTCATATTCATATTGACCCCTCGCAGCATGGAAATCAAACACTGCAATCTTGCTCCAGCAGGCCTCAAATTATTAAGAGCTTGTTGAGGCTCTTTGCACCACCCTCACTACGTCAGGTGGGGTACAACAAGCCAATATTGAGATTCTTTGTCGGCTCATCTCCGCCAGGCTCTGGCCGGTTTGCAGTCTATGTCGCGGATGTCAACCTATGTGCTTGACTGAAGTCTTGGAAAAATGTTGCGCTCACTTCCGAACCTCAGGCTGCATGGCCTTTGGACTCCCAAAAAGTATTTCTATCACGAAACCGGAAAGTAAAACTAAGTCTCGCAAGATTGCAGCCAGGAGACCTCCTCGAAAACCCAGGAATGAACCGCATCCGCCACTCTGGTAGGGGCTTCATGGTGAGGACAATGGCCACAGCCGTCAAGAGGTACCCCACGGGTATGCATCCCAGGCACGGCCGACTGAAAACCTTGCAGGCGGATGGGCTGATTGTCGGGGCCGCCACCCAGCTGGTCCGCCATACCTTGACAGATCAAGAGCCGACCGCCTGTGCTCGCATACTCCGCGAGCAGCTCATTGGTTGGGCGGTTGGGCCCCAGTCGGCTGAAGCACCCGATGACGTTGCTGGCGAAGGGGTCCTTGGAATCCCGGAGGATCTCCAGGGCAAGGTCAGCAGTTGGCTCCTGGTTGCTGGGATAGAGCCGCTTAAGGATGCCACTGATGTTGGGCTGCAGCCCTGTTAGCAAGGCCCAGGCACCGAAGTCTACCAACCATTGTGGTGGTGGAGAATATTCAGGCAGCCCGGCATCAGATCCATAGCCCTTTTGCATTCGCTCTATGACTGTCCCGCCACTGTTCTGCAGCAGGGTCTGATAATCCTTCACAGACAGCAGCGGGCCGGCCGAGTTGAGGAGAACAACACCAAGGCATATCTCACCGCCCAGGAATGCAGCGGCAGATTGTGCCATGTAGCCTCCAATTGAGTTGCCCATGAGAACAGCAGGTCGACCAACCACGGCCAACAAGAAGTCTTTCACACATTGCTCCCAAACCTAGCGTCTCGACCGGAATCGCGGACATTCAACTGTGCAAACACTCTCTAACAGCTCCATGAACCTCGCCGAGCGGCGTACTGTGTGATCGATAGGGGCGGCTTTTCGGCATGGCCAAAACCTAAGGTTATGGCCAGCTAGAACGCCATTCACAGGCAAAGCAACTGGCCAGGCCTATAAGATCCAGCGCATAGACGTCCATGGGGTGCTCCCTCTCCTCGAGCGCTTGTGCCAGTGGAGCGAACCTCACGGTGAGGTTCGGAAAGTGCCGGGACATGTTGGGCCCCATGTCACATGTCCCGAGCGCCAGGCTGCGTGCAGGAGGCTGCAAATCCATGGATCGCCAACAAGGGAGGCATTTCAGCCGTGGGATTTGTTGGCGCCTCGGTTTGACATGCTGCAACAGATGCGACATGTACACGCCTGCCCAGGCCATTCAAACGAGGTGTGCCCAAGAAGCAAACCCTGAAATTTTCATCACCCAAGCTAGGGTCGATGTATCGGCACAAATAACCTCGCCAGCGGAAAAAGCGGACCTTGGCAGGCAAACGAAAATGGACACTCGATTGAACAGCTCCCGTCGGTCAGCGCTTCGTCCTGAAATGCCTAAGCCCGCCACATCAAGAGGACGGGTGCCCGTCGACTCCGCTTCGCGCAAGTCAGCCAACGCCTAGGCGCAAGTCGCGCACTTCAAGCAACAACTGTGCAGGTCCTTGCAATAGCCCAACAATTCATCAAGTTGTAAGGCAAGCTGGCAACCCGCATTGCTTCATGTGGGCTTGCTTGTGAGCCGCGGCGCCAAGAGCCGATGCCATTCATTGGCTTCGAGTGCTTCAAGGGCTGCTTGACAATCCTGTGCGTGCCGATGAAACCACGGGACGCGCGCCTGTAGATGCAAAAACACATCTAAGTCACCTTATCCCAGCCAAGCACTGCGATCCTCCCCAAAGCTTGAGCATTTGAGCCTCTTTCCGTTCATTCGACCTTCACAAGGCTTCAATCCCCTTTTCATGAGCACAACAAGATCCCGTCCACCCCATACCCAGTAGCCACCTCGGAGCCCTGTTGCAAGCGTTGGGCGGCGGTGCGCATGGATATGCAGCCCAACCACCTGCGGCCGAGATGGGACGTTTTGCGGGATACCCGTTTTAAGATCACTTCAAGGGGCAATCGGAGAGAACACCGCCATTTTGGGGACCCCAATCCAGCGCAGTACGCCCACGATTACGTGCTTTCGGCAACATTGATCATAAGCAAGAACCCATGTGGGCTGCAAGCTTGCGATGTACCAAATGCAGAGAAGAGAGGGTCCGGAGCATACCGAAGCACTGGCATTGTGGCTGAGGTGCTGGCAGGAGCTTCTCACTCAAAGTGCGGCTGAAAACTTCTGCTGGTCTCAATCCCCTGGGCATGGCTTAGCGCTGGCTATGGCCGCCCGTTACTCGGTGTAACACTGGCTGGAATCTAACCGCGCCCCGTGCCTATATCCATCCGGTCCATTGGCAATCCGACGAAATGCCCACTCTTCTTTGGAGCGCGGCACTTCCTGAAGCAACGTCGCATCCAGTCCATGCGCCGTTTCCACCGTTTCCACAGTTTCCACTGTGAAACGGGGCTCTTGCAGCCTAGCGTCCTTTCCTGCACCTTCAGGCCCCCACAAATCTTTGGCGACGGCCTCGGCCCCTTCCTGGACGTAAAGCTCCAGAATTCGCAGAGCTTCCTCCTGAGGCTGAAAGGTAATTGGCTTGACTTGGCAAACCCGGCCGCACTGCCACATCAACACGTGCATGCTCATGTGCCTTCAACTGGCCCTCTCCTCTCCAGCTACATCTGAGCCCAATCCAGGTGCATAATTCAAAGATTCCCGCAAGAGCAGCTGCCCCCCGCTCGAAGATGCCAACAGCTTGGATCGCAGATCCTCGAAGCTTGGAATCTTCTCGTTGTAATCGAAGTCCCACGAAGCCGGTGGGTCCACAGGAGCCAGCGGAGCCGTTGGCTCTACCGCTTGGATTGCTGCTGCATACACATCATGAGCCCTGGTTTGACCCAAGGAGCCAGCCTCCACGCGCAACGGTGAACGCCATGTTCTGATGGCGGGCCCCTCCTTGCATAGCTCTTGTAGTCTTGCTAGGCCATCCATGCGCACGTCTGCCGGGTCTTCGTGAACATAGACATCACTCGCTCCCACCTCTTTGCTGAGCCTCATCACTTCTTGAGCTGCATCCTCGGCCACCAGGATGTGCAATGGCATTCCGAGCTTTCGGAGTTGTCTCTGCAAGTCTTCCACAGCTGTCCGCAGCAAGGCAAGTCGCCGTTGGGACAGCCGTGCAAGCTCGTTGGCCTCAAATATGTAACAGCAAAGCAGCCCCTGTGGAGCAGCGGAAGCCGCCCGCAGTCCTGGGTGGTCTTGACTTCGAAGGTCGCCGGCCCGGAACCAGACCACAGCACGGTCACTGGCTTCAGCCAAGGTAGGCTCCGGCACCAGAGTCGAAACGGATTCTCGCGCCAATCTCACATGCCTCGACTGCAGCCGCCGCTCGTGCCGAGCCCGAATGCCGCTCAGCTGTGATAGGCCAGCCGCCAACGCGATGCTGCGTTGCCAATTGGCTCTCGGCGGCGTCTGGTGCTCCACGCTACTGCGGTGTGCAACGGGCACACCAGGAACGGCCAAACCAAGGGGAGCGCTAAGCGTTGCCGCAGCCGCCATTGGCTGGGCTAATCTAATAGGGTCTGCGCTTGGAAGTCATGCCTGACCACTGCCATTTTGGAAACCTCAATGTCAGAATCCAACAATGCAGGTCTATTCAGAGAACACTTGAAAGAGATATAGGCCGAATCTAGCTGCAGCACTGTCTGCCATCTTGCCGCAGTCTTTGAGCCCACATCAACAAGCGCAATGAGAGGAGTTGGGGCGAATGCAACTTCATGACAGTTTGGACAATTAGCGGGGCTGCAGTAGACTCGGCAGCAGGATTGACACAAGTGATTCAATGAGGTTTGTACTTGAAACCTTGGCATACCGTAGGCACCAGGCAAATGCAAGCAAAGTGCGGGGTCGTCTGGGCAGAGTTTGTGGGGTGCCCACAACAAGGCTACAAAAACATGGCCGGCTGCAATCTGTGGCTGTGGCGGTTAGAAATTAATCATTGGCTGGAATCTGCAGGGACATTGTACCCACGCTACCGACGCTACCATTCTTCATTGACAAGCAACACTTGTGTTGAAACCGGGCATCCTTGAACAAAGCTGCCGCATCTTTGAAGCCATGTTTTGCAGCAGCGCCGGACATCTAGCCAGGTGCTCACGAAGCCAAGTACTCTGCCTTGGAAAGCCTCATGCATTCGATACATTCACTGCACATCACCCATGCTCTGCCACTCTGCGCGCCTTGGTTTGCGCCGATGCTCGGCAGGATCGAAGCCAGGCGACTGGGCACCGGCCCTGGGGCCCGATGGCACGAAAGTTGCAAATGCGGAAATGCGCGTCTGAGCGCCAGGCTCTTGCCAGCCGCTGGCCAGCGCCCAGGCTGGCGTCTCCAGGGTGAAATCAGAGACCTCCCCACATGGCGACTGGCGCGCGATCGCGCGATCGCGTGGCTGGCGAAGGCCTCCAGCATCCGGCCCTCCTGCGCCGCATCGGCAAAGCGCTCGAAGTCGATCCAGGTTCTCCACTTGTTGTCTATGAAGAATCGATCCCGGCCTCAGAGACCGCACTCACTTCACTTGCGGTATCCCGATGAATCTCACTCCCTGACGAGGCCGTGGCGGGCCAGAAGAACAGAGCAGCTATGCTCGTGCTCGCAAGCGATCTCATAGCCTGGTAGGGACTCCGACCTCACGAGAGCATGCGGGTGAGTCAAGACAGGTGAAAGCCGCACTGAGCCGCTAAGGCGAATGCAACTGCTCTGCGAAATCGCGGACCTCTTCATGCCAGGGAACAGAACTCATCGACAGACCGCTCCTGCCGTGCCCGCAAACACCCCAACCAATGCCTAGCCATCACAAGCATTGCAATCAGCTTAGCTCTTGTTGCCTCGAAAGCAAGTGCACCGGCCGTCTGCATGCATGCAGCGTGCGGTATTCATTTCGGGCATGCAGACTTTGCCGCAGTGAGCGCACAGCTCCTGTCATCCCATCCTGCGAAGGTGGCCCCTTTCACCTGAGCCAAACAAACCGCTCGCTTTCTCTTGGCGCGCAAAGTGGACTCGATCAACTCCGAGTCGCCTCCACGAAGTCACAGTCGCCCAGCTGGACCAATTCTGCGTAGCCATCGCAGGCGCTTCTCTCCATGTTCTTGCCTTTGAGCACCGTCAGCCGCGCGACCTCGCTCGCAGCAAAGCAAGAGGTGGATAAAAAAGGATACCACCAGCAACCGCAAAACCCAGTGGGTAGATGTGGAGGGAAACAGGATGTGAGCCCCTTCAAATTGAACAAACCTGAAATAAGCTTATGCAAGCGAGATGCTGTGCGCTGATATGGGCGCTTTTCGCGCAAGACCTCAAGGGATCTGCGCAAGCGCTGCCAGTGATCCTTGAAGAGGGGCCTGCTCACCTCCTTCAAGTCATCTTCATTTGCAGCGTCCAGAGAGACCTGAGCTCACAAATTCCAACAGGTATATAATACGGTATATACATGTTTGGTTCATCGAACTGGCCGTCGCTTCGCATCCAATCGAAGGAATCTTGTAAAGACAGACGGGAATCTCAATGATCCAACCAAAGGAATCAAATGATTTGGGTATATCTGTTTCTAGAGGACCCCCGAAATTGATTGTGCTCCTCTTGCTTTCCCTTCAAAAACACTCGCCAAAACGGGTACCCTCAAAAGCAGTTTGTCTTAAAGGGACACCAAAAGGAAAACCACCATTTTGGGTGATCAACAAAAAGGACACAGCCATGTCCAAGGCACGTAGAGCTGGGTGACCCAGGCCAGCCTTTCGAGCTCCTCGGGGAACTGGCCATTCGTCACCAGGAAGCTCGAGATGCGGCGCCGATGTAGCTCACCCACCAGCTCCGAGGCGGCCGGATACAGCACGGGTTCGCCCACCAGCGACAGGGCCATGTGCCCCACTCGCCGCGCCTGAGAGTTGGAGACCAATTCCCCGAAGCTCAGACCGGTAACCAAAAAAAAGATAAAAAAAAAAGCAAGCGCTTTTGATTTTCGCGATGCTATTTGTTTGGCCATCCCAACGTGAAAGTTCTCCCCCTCTCTGCCTCCGCTACTCGTGACGGCAGGGCCCGGGGCGAGAAGGCCACGTTCTCCAACATCTCCAGGTGCCTTTGCACGCTCTCTGCGACGATGGCCTCCGGTGCATCGGTTTGATACGTCCAGGAGGTAGTGACGGGGTTCGCATGGCCACGCCAACAGAAGGTGCACTTGTTGGCACAAGCCAAGGAGGGTGTGCCCTCCATGCACCGGTGAGAGCTGATGCCATAGAAGGTATGCTTATAGCACTGGCCCTCACCAAAAAGGGCGCTCTTGGTCCAGCGGCACTGCTTCACCGCACTATGGCTACCAACTAATTTGTATCCCTGTTGCTGCAAGAGCCCTCTGCCATCTTCTGACACCATGACAGGATTGTCTGACCGCTGCTCTGCAGAAAGCATGCCTTGCTTAGGCTCTGGGGCCGGGTCTTGCAGATCAGGGAGCAGGCCCAGCAGTAGCTTGACAACCTCTTCATGGCCGTTTTGGCAGGCGAAGCTGAGCCCAGTGCGACCATCTGCGTCCCCAATATTCAAAGCTGCACGGACCCGCGTTGGGTGTCGCTGGATGAGAGCGCGCACCACGGAATCGAGACCGTTGCGGCATGCCCAGTACAACGGAGTGGTTTGGTCCAAAGAAATGCTGTCACTCAGTGTAGCCCCCGCTTCGTCAGGGAAAGTGTTCAGCCAACACAAAGCCGCTTGCACACGGGACTTGCGGCAAGCTTCTGCGAAGTCCCGCGGCAATGAGTTGCAGCATTCATTGGGAAAGTGGTGCATCAATATGTCCAAGACCTCTTTCTTGCCAAAGCGACTGGCAACCGACAATGCATGGTCAATACTTGGTCTCACCTCTTCTGTAAAGCTACTGCAAACTTCTTCAATTGCTTCACAGTGCACGAACCAGCACAAGTAGGCAAACGGGGTAATGCGATTTGTGCCGAATGGCTGACCCATCAGCAGCCGCATTTGCCCAGGATGGCTGCGAAGAAGCCGCAGGATCGCCTTCTCACTGCCTTTCTTGCATGCTCTTTCAAGCTCCGCCTCGATAGACAGATCGGTGGAGGCTACCAACATCCGGGTCCGCCGTCGCGCAAAGGCCGGGATTAGGCAGCTGGCAACGGCAGTGCACAGCCGGGGTCTTATTCTTGTTTCTCGAAAGCTAAAGCTGGAGCTGGATGTAAACGCCGCTGGCCAGCCAGGCCGCTCTGGCCATGGCCATGGCACAGTTGGCACAGCGGCCATTGCACGTGCAAGGAACAAGAGGAACTGAGACCTTCCGTTCGCATGGTGCCCATACTTTCAGCTTGGGGTAAATGTACCGGTATAGTCCCAGCGATTCGAGGTTTACATGTTGGAGTCCAATACTCTCTAGCTCTTCAACTCGTGCATGGCCTGGCGCATCTAGCTTGAAGATACTCTGTGAAGATACTCTGCGGCGGCAATGTTGACCACTGTGGCATAATCACTGCCACATGCCAATTCACTGCATCCCATGCGGTCTGCAACGGTCTGCAGGCATGTTTTGGTCGCGGGGTCGAGATTATTTTGCAGGCTAGCCATGACATGCTATTTTTGTGCTTTCCGCTGCTGTGCCAGAGAAGGTTGCAATTGCTTCTTTCATGGTTTTGAGTTGCCCTAGCTCTTGTTTTCATGCTGCATTTCGAAACAAGTGAGCAGCGTGTGAATCTGCCAACATGGTTGTTCGCATGAAATATTTCATGTCAATTGCCACCTTCCAGGACGGCGGATCACCCACCCAGATGGTTGACATCGGCTGTATGTCTCTCATACACATTTTACCTAGAGACACAGCAACTCGTGCCAAGTTGCAAAGAAGTCGAGGCTTCGGTGAGTGAACGAAACATGATGAAACATGAGTCATGTCATCTATCTGGGTGAGGATTCTGTGACGAGACAAGACGTGGAGGCGTCCAAAGGTCAAGCAGCGCCGGTCGCGCCGTAAAGCATGTCCTATCCAACATGTTTGGATTTCTTCAAGTTGAAGCCAAATGCCAAGTTGTGGACCCGCGCCTTGACGCACGTCTCCATTGCCACTTCTCTAGTAGGTGGCCTGTGTGCTCAACACTTCCAGGCATTGCGTTCACCGTCCCTGCAGTTCAGACGGTCAAACTAAATGAGAAAAGGGGATCAAGTTATGGCAGTGGAAAACCGGGATATGCAGTGCCTGGCCTCTAAATTGTATCTCCTTCAAGCTCCCGAAGAGCTCTTCCTCCTTCGCAGAAATGGCAAAGCAAGCCACGATCAAAACACTATTGGTTCCGGGTTCCCACGTTTGGTGAGTCTGCCTGTTTCAATATCATTTCGTCTGGGATCAAACAGTTGCGATGTGGTCCTTGCAACAAGCTTTTGTCTCAGCTCCAAGGAAACCCCAATGCCCTATGCTCACCATGGCCAACCAAGGCCCTTTGTGCTGCACCAAAGAGACATGACCGATGCTCAGATTGACCGGTTCCTTGTACTCCGCAGGGGGGCCCACCTCAGGCGCGATTCGACGATGGAAAACCACAGAAGTCGACCCAAAACCAGGCAAACAAAATCCAAAGGGCGAAGGTTAGGACTGTGCCGACCTAATCTTCCTCTTTGACTGCGGCCGGCCTTCGTGATGGCCATCACTTTGGTGCTTGGCGTTCACAATGCAGGATCTTGTTCCTTGGACGCTGATACCACAGGACACATTCCTTCAACAAATTCCATAGGCTGGGCTGGAATCATCCATA